GACAGTGCTGTGATGTAGCTGGTAAAGCCACTGCCTGCAAAGCTAGCATCCCATATGTGTGCCAGTTCGAGTCCCGGCTGCTTCACCTCCAATCCAGCTCTCTGCTACGGCCTGAGAAAGTAGTAGAAGATGGCCCAAGTCCTTGGGCCCCTGCAACCACGTGGGAGACCTGGAAGAAGCTCCTGGCTCCTGGCTTCAGATCGGCTCAGCTCCAGCCATTACAGCCATCTGGGGAGTTGAACCATCAGATGGAAGACCTCTTTCTGCCTCTTCCTCTCTGTAACTCTACCTTGCAAATAAATAATCTTTAAAAAAAGAAAGAACAAGCTACTAATCTCAAATTAAGATTTACTAGTCCCTATCTGTCACATCTAGAGCGTTTTCATGCTATGTTAATTGGAATTTTAATAAAGTGAATATCTTGTCTATAAATGTTAACTCATTGGAGAAAGCTGCTGCCCAGACTCTCTCTCAGACAAAATCTTTAGAAGATTAAACATTGATTCTCAATAATTTCCATGCCTGGATTGACCTCTTTCATCACTCACATTCATTTACTCACACATTCACTCATATATTGAATATTTGCTAAGTCCTGGGATTTTTTTCTTCTAGGACCTAAAGATACAACAGTGAAGAAAAGAGAAAAGATGTTGATTCTCCTGGAGTTTCCATTCTGTGGGAAAGGAGTAGACATTGAGAATGTAAACAATAAGTGGAGCATCAAAGCAAAAAAAAAAAAAAAAAAAAAAACAGAATAAAATCAGTGGGGGATACTTGAAGCAGATGGTAAAGAAAAGTCTCCCTAGGGGGAAGAATAGTTGGCACAGAAGTCAAATGAAGAAAAGAGGCTGTCCATTCCAAGGTCCAAGGGAAGCTGAGTCCAGAAAAGGAAACAATGAGTGAAAGGATTTCCCTGAAGTCTTGGAAGAACAGCTGAAGACAATGATGTCCAAGGAGAGTAGAAGAGTGAAATTCTAGAAATAAACAGACCAGGCCAAGCCTGCAGTATGATTTCATTATCAACATGATAGGAAACTAATGAAGAAGTTGAATTCAGCTCCTGATCCTGCTACTGGCAGACAGATTGAGGTCATGTGGCTGAAAACTAGGAATCCAGTTGACAAGCCAATGAGGTAGCCCAGCAAGAGTGACTGTGCTGGGGTAGAGGCTTGGACTAGGGTGATAGCTGGAGGCAATGCTGGGTCAAGGAACCTGTGCCCTAGACAAAGGAATGGCCTGATGGAGTCAGGACATGCTGGAGAAGCAGAGCTGAGAGCAGTCACTGATGGACTGGTATAAGGCAGTGCAGAGGGAAATGGTGACTGAACATGATGGAGAAATAAACATGACCATTAGGTTTCTGTCAGAAAAACTGGATGGGTGGTGATACAATATCCAAATAGGACACAGTCGGAGGAAACAGCAGGACAAGGTTGGGACTGCACAGGAGGAATCTTTTTTAACGTTTTATTTCAGAATAGTTTTAAATTTACAAACAAAAATTGCAAACTTGTAAAATTCTTCTAGTATACCCCATACCCTGATTCCCTTATCATTAACATTAGTATATTTGTCACAACCCATAAGCCAAACCCAATTTACCATATTTTAATCCAAACTCCCTGTATCCCTCCCACTTTTCTAAAGCCTCTAATAATCAGCATTCTGTGTTCATATTGGAGTGGCAATTTTAGCCCCCACATAAGAGGGAGAACATATGGTCCTTTTTTCTGTGTATGGCTGACTTATTTGACTTAACATGATGTCCTCTAGTTTCATTCATTTTGTTACAAATGATGGGACTTTGATCTTGTTATGGGTGAATAGTATTCCATTGTGTGTATATATATTTTATATCATATATATATTTACATCATATTTTCTTTATCTGTTCATTTGATGCTGGACACCTTGGTTGATTCCATATCTTGGCTATTTAATTTTTTTAAAGATTTATTTACTTTTTTGAAAGTGTTGCAGAAAAAGAGAGGTCTTTCATCCACTGGTTCATTCCCCAAATGGCTGCAAAGGCCAAGGCTAGGCAAGTCTGAAGCCAGGAGCCTAGAACTCCACCCAGGTCTTTTTTTTTTAAACTTTTATTTAGTAAATATAATTTTCCAAAGTACAGTTTACGGATTACAATGGCTTTTTCCCCCCATAACTTCCCTCCCATCCACACCCCTTCCATCTCCCGCTCCCTCTCCCATTCCATTCACATCAAGATTCATTTTCAATTCTCTTTATATACTATCGGTTTAGTATATATTAAGATTTCATCAGTTTGCACCCACACAGAACATAAAGTGTAAAATACTGTTTGAGTACTAGTTACAGCATTAATTCACATTGGACAACACATTAAGGACAGAGATCCCACATGAGGAGTGAGTACACAGTGACTCCTGTTGTTGACTTAACAATTTGACACTCTTGTTTATGGTGTCAGTAATCTCCCTAGGCTCTAGTCATGAGTTGCCAAGGCTATGGAAGCCTTTTGAGTTCACTGACTCTGATCTTATTTAGACAGGGTCATAGTCAAAGTGGAAGTTCTCTCCTCCATTCAGAGAAAGGTACCTCCTTCTTTGATGGCCCCATTCTTTCTACTGGGATCTCACTCGCAGAGACCTTTCATTTCGGTTTTTGTTTTTTTGTTTGTTTGTTTGTTTTTTGCCAGAGTGTCTTGGCTTTCCATGCCTAAAATACTCTCATGGGCTCTTCAGCCAGATCCGAATGCCTTAAGGGCTGATTCTGAGGCCAGAGTGCTATTTAGGACATCTGCCAACTTTCCATGTTGGATCGCTCTCTCCCTTTTTTATTCTATCAGTTAGTATTCACAGACACTAGTCTTGTTTGTGTGATCCCTTTGACTCTTAGACCTATCAGTGTGATCAACTGTGAATTGAAATTGATCACTTGGACTAGTGAGATGGCCTTGGTACATGCCACCTTGATGGGATTGAATTGGAATCCCCTGGCACATTTCTAACTCCACCATTTGGGGCAAGTCCGATTGAGCATGTTCCAAATTGTACATCTCCTCCCTCTCTTATTCCCACTCTTCTATTTAACAGGGATCACTTTTCAGTTAAATTTCAACACCTAAGAATAAATGTGTGTTGATTACAGAGTTCAACCAATAGTATTAACTAGAAGAAAAAAAATACTAAAAAGGATAAAGTATTAAATTGTACATCAACATTCAGGACAAGGACTGATCAAGTCACTGTTTCACATAGTGTCCCTTTGACTTCAACAGGTTTCCTTTTTTGTGGTTGGTTAGTTGTCACCGATCAGGGAGAACATGATATTTGTCCCTTTGGGACTGGCTTAATTCACTCAGCATGATGTTTTCCAGATTCATCCATTTTGTTACAAATGACTGCATCCAGGTCTTTCCTGTGAGTGGCAGGGGCCCAAGTATTTGGCCATGCTCCACTGCTCTCCTGGTGCATTACAGGGAGCTGGATTGGAAGTGAGGCAGCCAGGACTAGAACTAGTATTCATATGGGATGCCAGCATCATAAGTGACCCTTTTACCTGCTGCACCTCAGTGCTGGCCCCCATACCTTGGCTATGGTGCAGTGCTGCAATAAACATGAATGGAGCAGGTATCTCTTGGCTACAAAACTGTAATAATTAAAACAGCATGGTACTAGCATAAAACCAACACATAGATGAACGGAACAGAATAGAGAGCCCAGAAATTAATCTATGCACATACAGCCAACTCATTTTTGACAAAAAAGCCAAGAACATACATTTAGAGTTTTTTTTTTAATAAATACTGCTGGCAAAACTGGATCTCCATATGTAGGACAAAATTAGAGCACTACGTCTCACCATATACAGGAATCAACTCAAGATGGATCAAAGACCTAAATGTAAGACCTGAAACTATGAAATTGCTGGAAAGAAACATAGGGGAATATTTCAGCACATTGCTGTAAACTGATTTTCTTGGATAACAGCACTGGCAACAAAAGCAAAACCAAACAGGATTATAGAGTAGTACAGCCACTGTGGAAAACAGTATGGCGATTTCTGAAGACAAAAAAAAAAAAAACAGAACTCATATACTCCCATAGGAGTCAGCAATTCCACTCCTGGATATACACCCAAAAGACATAAAATCATCATCAAAGACAGCAGGAATCTTGAGATTTCCACTAGACGCCTGATGGTGATGTTGGGGCAGCAGGTGGATGCCTTGCTGGGAAAACGAGGCATTTTCGGTGTTGCATTCAAGTCCCACCCTTGATGAGGCTACCCGAATCACACGGATCCTACATGATGATCCTACTCCTCTGAAATCTACGAGGCGCCTCACCCAAACCTCCCATCCGACAAGTCATCTACTGCTCTGTGAGAAGTGGTCAGTGAGTTCCGCATCCGGCCCTCACACACCGCACTGCAATCACGCCCTCACCTAGGAGACACCAGGACTAGGCGAGTGTATCTTACCCTGAAACGCTAGCGCCGGGCAGTCCACGTCACAACTTTTAACTCATTGGGCTCCAGGGCGCCCAGGGCACAAAGCTTGCCAGGCAGGAGCCCTCGGTGACGGACGGGCTGAGCCGCACGAAGTGCTCCGGTGGGGGCGCATTTGTCCCTTCTTCACTCCTTCACTCCACGTGCCTGCACCTGCTCATGCCACGTGGACCTGATCCCCTTCCAGAATGTCTCACGACCTCACCATCGCCTCCTCTCCCCTACCCCTCCTCTAAAACGACACAGCATCCAAACCTGGTAATTTGAAAGTTTTAAATTTTCCTTAAAAATAATTTTTTTAAAAAAAAGGACAGAAAGAAGGGAGGGTATATCAAAGTCTGGAAGAACGGAATCCAGCATCCCAGCGAGAGCGAGCGAGGGCTGACTTGGGACGGACCGAGCTGACTTGGTCCGGGAAGCCGCTGGCCCCCGGGACCCCGCATGTTCCGCCACCCCAGACCCCGGCCTTGTGCGGTCCAGAGCCCGGGTGCGGCCAGCGCCCCGCGTACCTGGCGGGTAATACCGCAGCAGGAGACACCTGAGCTTCATCCTCTCGCTCTGGGATCCGCCGCGTGCCTTCGTAGCCATGGAAACGGGCAAACAGAGGCTGCGCGCCGAGACCCGTGCGCAGGCGCCGCTGAGCTTTCCTGGGCCTTCGTAGCCATGGAAACGGACAAAGCGGCTGCGCGCGGCGACCAATGCGCAGGCGCCGCTGAGCTTTTCCTGGGCCTTCGTAGCCATGGAAACGGACAAAGCGGCTGCGCGCGGCGACCAATGCGCAGGCGCCGCTGAGCTTTCTTGAGAAGCGGAGCGGGAGGCGCGGACTCCCAGGTCTCAGAGAGCGGCGCGAGCGGCTGGCGGCGGCCGTGGGCGGCCGTGGGCGGCGGGGGCGCGTTCTCGCGGTGCCCGGCGTGGGCAGGGATGAGAGTCCTTGGTGTCCTCGGTCGGTCTGGCCTCACAGCCGCGAGGCGGGGGTCCTGGCCACCCCCTGGACCGCGCGTACCTGAGCGCCGTGCGTTTCCTCTGAGGAGGGTGGGTCCCCGCCGCGGCCCCCTCCCTGGCGGCTGTCCTAGTCTCTGTCCCCGCGCAGAGAAACCTCCAGCTCCTGACCCCGTGACCCCGGGGACGCGCTGCGGACGCGGTTCTGTACAGTAGTGAGGGAGTCGCCGGTGAGTTTCCTTCACCCCTGTGTTTGCTTACGTGTGTGGCCTTTGCTGTGGAGAAAGCTGCCGGACCCCACCGTACCACGGGGTCAAACGTAATGTCACCCTACACCTCGCAGCTGCCATGCAGTTACCTGGAATTCCTGCCCGAAATGTGTTACTTCAACCCTCATCGTGAGGAAACCGAATTGAGGAAATTGTACAGAAACACACACACACACGTCAAAATCAAGACAGAAAAAGTAGACTGTGGCTAAATGGACACTAAAGAGAAGAGCTAAGCACACTGTGGGATCTTGGGACAGGAAAATTGTTCAGTATAAAGGACGTCAGTCAGGACAGTGGATGAAATCTGAACAGGGATTGTGGCTTAGATAGTGGTTGGTTATGACGCTAGGTTTCTTGAACTGTGGTTACATAAGACAATGAATATCTCTTGGGGAAAGCACACGTTTATTTCTAGATAAAAGGGCCCTGATATTTGTGATCATCCCTCAAATTATTCCCTCCCTCTCTCTCCTCCTCCCTCCCTCCCTCCCTTTTAGATTTATTTATTTATCTGAGAGGTAGAGTTACAGAGGGAGAGACACAGAGATCTTCAATCTGCTGGTTCACTCCCCAAATGGCCACAATGATCAGAGCTGAGCCAATCGGAAACTAGCATCGCAGGAGCTTCTTTGGGGTCTCCTGTGGTTGCAGGGGCTATCTTTCCCGACTTTCTCAGGCCTTTAGCAGGGAGCTGGATTGGAAGTGGAGCAGCTGGAACTTGAACCAGTACCTATATGGGATTCTGGCTCTCCCGGTAGAGAATAACCTACTACTCCACAGTGCCGCCCACCACCAATGGTTCTGGAGAAAATTATTTGTATTGTGTGTGTGTGTGTGTGTGTGTGTGTGTGTAGATGGGCAGATCAATAGAGAATTCTAAAGTGTTAAATCCTGGTAAAGAATTTCTTTTGAGGAGTTCTAGGTACAGTTCTTGCAACTTCTCTGTTCAGTTTGAAAGAAGTAGCCTTGGTTTCCTGCAGGCCAAGCCAGGCTTCAGAATGTTCAGGATATAGATGAGGATGGAGGATTGGCTCCTCTTCTTTTGTTAAGGGATCCTCGGTCTCATTCCCTGCTTGACCCTTAATCCTTCTCTATTCTTCCCTCTCCGTGGAACAAAGAGCCCCCTACCCTTTGCCTACCCTTCGCCCTCTTTCTCCAGCATTCCTGCATGATAGCTCTTTTCTTTTTGCTTCAGATAGAGGCTCTGCCCTGGTTTCCTGAACCAAACTTGATAGGAGTTGTCCTTTTGCTGCTTAAAATGGTTCACAGCTCTACTTTTGACAGCTTCTCCCTTGGCTCAAATAGTTTAAGCCAAATTCTTTTGTTATATTCGGAACAGAAAGTTACAGAAGACAGCAAAGTCTCAGGGCCGAATTTTGGAGTCTTTCTGAAAGCCAGCGGCTGCATGAGGGCATGTGCTCTTCAAATCATGCAACCCTGATTGGCTCAGGGGTAAGCTTACAAAGGCAAAAACCACATCTTGTTGGACGTTAATTACAAAGCCAAGCATTTGTTACAGAAGCTAGAACAAGCAATGTTATGCTTATCTCAAGAGGCATCAAACACGTTTCCCAGCACTTAATATAAACAAACCTCACAGATAACATTCTTACAAGATTAGTTTTTGAGTAGATAAAAGTTGTGTGGCTGGTTAGAGGACACCCAGGGATAAGACAGAGTGACTGGAGGACATCCAGGGACAAAATGGAGTGACTGGTCAGGCCACAACTCACTGGCACCTCACTTTCACACAAGTGACAGAGGGATTATGAATGGTGATCACCTCCCCGTCATATCCAGGGCCGCCTTTTCCAACACTAGAAAACAGATCTTTGGAGGTGGGTTCCAGTTTTCCCAGGTATCATGGCCAACAGGAAGGAGTCAGCAACTCTCACCTCTATCTTTGCTTAAGAGCCGTTTAACTGGGACGTCCAAGTACTCTGAGCTTTGTTTACAGTTTCCAAAACCCCAGCAGTTTTCCAAATTCAGTTTCTTCTTTTGCACCTTGTATGCATATAGGTCTCCTTAGTGTTTGAACTTAGAAGCCCAGAATCTTTGTCAGAATCCAAAGTTAAGCCCTCTCTCATTCCCCTTTCTAGGAAGACAGTAGGGTTGTATGCAAAGGAAGTAAAGTTCCAGAGAGAAGCAAGAAAAGTTCATGAGTGCAAGAATATTTCTCTGTTGACCTTGGCTTAAGTTGGTGTTAAAATCGTGCTTAATTGACTCATCATTTACTCATTCCAGAAGCTGCTGCATGATTCTCTCTCAACCTGAGGAAGGTATTGTTTCACTCGAGATCACCCCAGTGCAGAGCCAGAGTTATGCATGACGCACAGAAATCTACAGAAACAAAACTCCTATGATGCAAAGGTGGCAGATGCTCTTCCCTGTGTGGCTGCACAGGATTACTTTAGAGACATTCCTGAGCGTCTTAATCTTTTAATCTAGTAATAGCATTTTCTGTAGGTATGAGCATTGACTCACTAGAGCAACTATGGACATTCATATAGATTTGTGCATACACTAACATTTGACTCTGGGTTTCTCCCCTGCAATGGAACTGTATGTCTGTGTCCCACCCAAAAGCTCATAGGCTGAAATCTTAATTAATCCTCAAAGTGATGTCATGTGGAGGTGGGGTTTTGGAGGAGCGATTAGGTCATGGGGGTGAAGTTGTTACAAAAGGGTTCTCAGAGAACTCTGGACACCTTTCTGCCATGTGGAAGTTGGTCCCAGCAAAGGGCCCTAACTAGAACTGACCATGCAAGCACCAGATCTGGAACTTCCAGCCTCTATAACTGTAAAAAATACTTTTCTGTTGTTTATGAGCCTCCTAACCCATGGCACTTTGTTATAGTAGCTTGAACACCCCCACTGAGGTCTTATTGAACAACCAGAAACTATAATTAGAATTCATTTCACTCCCTCTGACCAATTGAGTTTAGTGCATTGAAGTCACTCTGGGCTTTGGTTCTCAAAGTGTGATCCCAGCAATATCAAGATCACCTGGAAACTTGCTAGAAATGTACACCCTTGCAGCTGGTGCTGTGGTGTAGTGGGTAAAGCTACAGCCTGCAATGCCAGCAACCCATATAGGCACCAGTTTAAGTCCCAGCTGTTCCACTTCCAATCTAGCTCTCTGCTGTGGACTGGGAAAGCAGTAGAAAATGGCTCCAGTCCTTGAGCCCCTGCACCCACGTGGGAGACCCAAAAAAAGCTCCTGACTCCTGGCTTCAGATAAGCCTAGCTCCAGCCATTGCAACCAACTGGAGAGTGAACCAGTGAATGGAAGATTCTCTCTCTCTCTCTCTCTCTCTGCTTCTCCTGTCTCTGTGTAACTCTGACTTTCAAATAAATAAATCAATCTTTAAAAAAAATGCACACTCTTGCTTCCTCCCCTACTGAACCAGAAACACTGACAGTGAGCCCAACAATAATTGGACACACTTTTCTGGCGATTCCAATGATGGGTTTGAGTAGCACTGCAATGACAGTAAGTTACACTGGTTTGGCCAGAGCTGAGTGAGTAAAACTGAACTCTGTCGGGCCTTTTGTGTATTGGATGATCTTCCCTGATTGTTAAGGACCATGACCTGGTTGTTCAGCCACATTCCCAAATGTGAATGAGGCCTAGCAACAACATGGGAGGAAGCTGGAGTTCTCTGCATCATTTGGATTTCATTTGCTTCCATGCATGGAGACAGTAAGGGACACAGGCTAAAGAGGGATCAGAAAGCCCCTGGGAGAGGAGAAGCTCATAGGGAGGTGGGAGAGATGGAAGGACAGGAAGCTGGGAGAGGAGTCAGTCTGCTCCTTCAGTTTCTGCACTGAGGCCGGGCAGGTGGGGCAGGAGCAGGGTTTGCAGCTGCAGCAGTGCTCTGTGGATTCTCCAGCACCTTCTGAAGAAGGCACCCACGAGAGAACTGTATCACGAGGGTTGGGGCCCTCATGGGGAGAAGCAAATAAGAAGAAAGCAAAGCTCCCTTTTGGAGAGACAGAAAGAGAAGATAGGAGTATTCTGAGCCTGGCAGGAGAGCTCAGCTATGCACAGAACTTAGAGAAGGCCTCATTGCAGTAGGCCCAGGGCAGAAAGAATACATCAGGCAGGAGCACATGGTGACAGGTCACTTCTGATGCTCCTCCCGTGCCCACCTCCACTCTCACCACAGGAATCAAAAACATCTGACTACCTGGACCTGAAAACCAACAGGGTCAAGGGCCACTAAATAAATCACTCAGTAAGTACGTACTGAGGGCCTACTAGTTCCAGGTATTTAACTTTTTTTTTTAAAGAAAGCTTCTATTTAATGAATACAAATTTCATAGGTACAGCTTTAGGAATATAGCAGTTGTTTTTTCTATGAACTTACCTCATATGGAAACATTCTCTAATTGTTAGGGATAGCGATGATAAACAACATTGCTATCCTGAGTTTGTCTAAAGCTGAGAAAGGGATATTTCTATATTGTTTCCCTTTAAAGTGATAATCTAGGTTAGCAATTGCTCCAATAATCACTCCTTTATAATTTTGACTCCTGTATGTGATCTTTGACAAAGTTTTCTTTACTAATTATGCTAATTAGGGTGAGTATAATCAGTATAAATATTAAAACTAGTTTAATCCCTTAATATATAACTACTTTCTCTATGGATACTAATAGATCTGCCTTTTTAAAGAAATGGCCTGTGAGATTTTAGGAGGGAGGAAGAGGGTTCTGTACCTTAGCAAGTTAGAGATCATCCAGAGAAGAGCAATACAGATGTAGAAAGACCAAGAGTCTCCAAAGCATGAACAAATGTATGTGCAGTGGGCATGATGCTGCCTTCCATGCCTAGAGCTCAGTAGATCCTTGGTTAATGAGTGATGTTTGAGAATTTGGAAGAGGAAATCACTGGTGACAAGCAGGACTAGATGGCAAAGCTCAGAAAGCTGAATTTACACTGGCTCAGGTTTTGTTTTTTTTTTTTTTTTTTTTTGGACAGGCAGAGTGGACAGTGAGAGAGAGAAAAAAGTCTTCTTTTCCATCGGTTTACCCCCCAATTGCCACTGCAGCCTGCCAGCTGCGGCCGGTGCATCACGCTGATCCGAAGCAAGGAGCCAGGTGCTTCTCCTGGTCTCCCAAGTGGGTGCAGGACCCAAAGACTTGGGCTGTCCTCCACTGCACTCCTGGGCCATAGCAGAGAGCTGGACTGGAAGAGGAGCGACTGAGACAGAATCCGGCACCCCGACCAGGACTAGAACCCCGGGTACCGGCACTGCAGGCAGAGGATTAACCTATTGAGCCATGGTGCCGGGCACTGGCTCAGTATTAAGAACTTTGTACCAATAATGGACCAGGCTCCAAGACTCCAAAAATGCTAAGAATTTTCCAACATTGGAAGAGCTTTAGTAGGGCAGTTTGACCAGTTGCCAGGATTAGTGTAACACACAATACTAAATCAGCTGAGAGGAATCAATTAAATGTGATTTTAGATCTGTGATTCCATGATTGTGTGCATCAGTGTACTCATGTGTTTTCACAAAAAAACAAATGTGGAAAGTGAAAAACTGGGTCACTATTGGAAGCGAAGCTCTGATCGAAGCCATTCACCGATGACCTGTAAGTACACCATTTATCCTTCTAACACTAAGTTACTCAACTGCAAAGGATTTTCTTACATTCCATTCAGCTTTTGCATACCATGGCTTGCTTGTTCTGGCCCTGGCCTTTTATTCTTGTCATTCCTGCCACTTGATAAGCCTCCCACTCCAGTTGTTCTGAAGCCCTATCAGACTGGAATCACCTTGTCCACGTGCATGCTCAATTTGATTTCATACATCAAGATGTGGTGGTGTGGATGTCTCACCACTAAATGTCACTTCTATGCAAGTCTTGCTTCAGGGCCCCAGACAGGTGACCACATCTGGTCACCTTTAGGTAAACGTAGTGACCTTAGTGATTTCTCCATCATTTCATGTTGAAAACCCCAGTACATCCAGAATTGTTTGCACATGCGTTTCTTCTGTCTCTGCTTATGGAGTTTATTCTTTTTTTCTTTTCCTTCCTTTTTTCTTTCTGTGGTAGCCATGACTCCTGCTATCTTCCCTTTCCTACTATCTAGCTAATCTAATTGCCCTTAGCAAATCTTTAGTCACACTGCCCTTATTCTTTTCTCATCTTAACTATTATATTCCTCTGATTTAAGTTTTTCCAGACAGTTGAGGATTCCGTGACTATGACCATTTTACAGATACGAACTTAAGGGCACAATCACAACCATAGAAGGAAGTTGCAACCTTCTTTTCTCATTAAGATCCTACAGAAATCTCAAAGTAAGAAGCTAAAGGATTGGAAGTAATTCTAAAAGACTTGACTAATGTGGCAGATCAGTGTTTTATCTGGAACTGTTGCTGGTACAGGCCACAAAGGCATTTGCCAAGACAGACACACACACACACACACACACACCCCCTCTGTGTTCTGCTTTGGGAAGTAACCAGGACCTTGGACAATCTTACTGAATCTACCAGCTCTACATGAACTGCTGCCAGTGTGCTCTAAATTGTCTGGGACTACATGATTCTGACTTCACCAGGTGCACTTGTACAGTGGGCAGAAGCAACTGCTATGTCTGCATTCTGCATTCCCTGAAATCTTTCTGATGTCTCTGCCATCACCAAAATTATCCAGATTGAAACTGAGAAATTCCCAGCAGGGTTTATTCCAAACAATTTATTTCTAAATTGTATAAGATCTTACAATTGCCATTTGTGTGTTGGTGGAGCACCAAGCTTTAAATTCTCAATGTTGTTCATGCTCAGGCCTATACTCCTACCCACAATTTCAGCTCCTTCCCCAGCTTGTTAGCAACCCCTGCCTCCAAAACCCTCCAAAATTCCAAGAGAGTTCTCTCCCATGCTCCTCTATGTAGTTGTAATGAATTGTCTCCCTCCTTTCTCCCTCAACTCAGCCAAGTGGGTCACTTTCTGAATATGCTGGTGGTAATGACACCAACAGTGGAGGATCCATTGGAATCAGTATTCTGTTGCTCTCTGCCTTGCAAAGTAAAGGTTTTGCCAGGCTTGTATATTATATACAGCAACATACGCACTGGCAGTGCAAGCCAAGTCTTTGGGCAAATTATGAAAAAGTGTCAACTCTAGGATAGAGGGTGTCCCTTCACACCTCCAGGGCCACCAGGGCCAGGCTTAATGGAATATCCCTATAGCTAGGAGACTCGAGCCCCACCCATTCTCCCCAGAAGGACTTTGTGAGCTGCCCGGACTCCCAACCATCCACAGTAGCCCTCTACAAGTATCCAGGGGAGTGTTGATCCACACAAGCTTTCCCTAGGCTAACCCTGCTCACACAAAAGCCTTTACCCTCTATAATTCCCTACTGGTTCATACTCTGTCATTTATTTGCTTGCAAGTTGAATTTCAGTGAAGAAGTGGAGAAAGATGTTATAATATGTGATCCTGTTAGTTTGCCAAGGGTCACACTTTTGATATGGTTGGTAAGTACATCCTCTGGAGGGAGGCATTGTGGCCTAGAAAGGACACGAATGTGAATCAGAAGGGGCTGGTGCTGTGACATAGTGGGTAAAGCCACTGCCTGCAGTGCTGGCATCCCTTATGGGCACCAGTTCGAGTCCCAGCTACTCCACTTCTGATCCAGCTCTCTGCTATGGCTTGAGAAAGCCCTAAAGGATGGCCCAAGTCCTTGGGACCCTGAACCCATGTGGGACACCTGGAAGAGGCTCTTGGCTCCTGGCTTCAGATTGATGCAGCTCTGGCCATGGTGGCCATCTGGGGAGTGAACCAGCAGATGGAAGACCTCTCTCTCTCTTTGCCTTTGCCTCTCTGTAATTCTGCCTTTCAAATAAATAATAAATAAATCTTTTAAAAAATATGTGAATCAGGCCGGCGCCGTGGCTCAATAGGCTAATCCTCCACCTTGCGGCGCCGGCGCACCGGGTTCTAGTCCCTGTTGGGACGCCGGATTCTGTCCCGGTTGCCCCTCTTCCAGGCCAGCTCTCTGCTATGGCCAGGGAGTGCAGTGGAGGATGGCCCAGGTGCTTGGGCCCTGCACCCCATGGGAGACCAGGAAAAAAGCACCTGGCTCCTGGCTCCTGCCATCGGATCAGCCCGGTGCGCCGGCTGCAGCGGCGGCCATTGGAGGGTGAACCAACGGCAAAAGGAAGACCTTTCTTTCTCTGTCTCTCTCTCTCACTGTCCACTCTGCCTGTCAAAAAAAAAAAAAATATGTGAATCAGAGGAGTCTGATGTTTGCATGCCACTTATTCTAGTCACTGCTAGAACTTCATTTTCTCGTCATAAGATGGGGACAATAATACTTTCTGTATTGTGGTACTATTGTGCAGATTAAATACGCAGATATGTAGTGTGCTATGCACCCAATTTCTAAATGCCTTAAATATTTGTCTTTAACCATTATCATACTACAATCTTACCTCTATAATGGAATTATTTAACTCTCAAATACATACCAATATAATTAAATATCTAACACTATACTCAAAATATCAGCTTAAGGGACTTTTTTCAATTCGGCAATGGATATGTATGAAGGTTGCTTCAAAAAGTTCATGTAGGGTCTGGCGCTGTATTGTAGCCAGCAAAGCCATCACCTGCGGTACCTGTTTGAATCCCAGCTGCTCCATTTCCAAACCAGCCCCCTACTAATGGCCTGGGAAAGCAGTGGAAGATGGCCCTAGTGCTTGGGCCCCTGCACCCATGTGGGAGACCTCGATGAAGTTTTTGGTTCCTGGCTTCAGTGTGGCCCAACCCTGGCTGTTGCAGTCACTTGGGGAGTGAACCATCAGATGGAAGATATATCTCTCTCTTCTCTGTATGTGTATGTGTCTCCCTGTCTCTGTGTAACTCTGACTTTAAAATAAATATAAACATCTTTTTTTAAAGTTCATGGAAAAAAAAAAACCCTCTCATAGGCAGTATTTCAAAAATTCTTTGAAACAAAATAAACTTATCTTTACTTAAATTTTCTGTGAACTTCTTGAATACTTTTGTACTTGCTATTAGCTCATTGGCAGTAGGGGGCAGCAGTGCACATGTGTTGCATATGAAAAGGGATACTGTGCTTTGGAAGACCAGACACTAGGTCAGACCAGTCTATGCAGTAAGCAGAAACTCCTTCCTTTTGACTTCCTGAAACCTGTCTTTGAAGGCAATTCCCTGAAGATTAAAAAAAAAAAAAATGACACCGGCTCTTTTTTTTTTTCTTTTTGTACCTTTGTATTTATTTCTTGTTTCTGAAAATTTCAAGATGTCCTCTCTGTACTTTGAAAGAGTGTTCAGCACTGGTAAGCTAAGATGTATTTGTTGGATTCTATTGCAATGGACTTTCCTTATGTGTTATGCTGTATTCTTAGCCATAGTTTAATATGTTGAAAAGGGACCGAAAAATATATTCAGCTTTTGAATATAGAATTAAACAGAATTATGCTTGATGTAGCTACAAAAAAAATTGAAACGTATGGTTTGAATAACCCTGCTAATTACTCACAAATATGCTATCAATGCTAAAAATAATTGTCGCTCCCCCTCTTCGTGGAGGAGCAACACAGGACCCTGCGCTGTTCTTCTGTCTGCTCGGCCCTCCCCGGGTTTGCTGCTGGTTCTTCCCGGGTTGGCTACTATCCCTTCCACCTCCGTGGAAGGGCAGTTCCCCCTGGCCACATTCCCCACTTCCGCAGGGGAGCGGCACACTGCCGGCCGGCTTTCTCGGGGGCTGCACAGGTGTTCCCTCAGATGTTCCCCTTAGATGTTCCTGGTGCATGCCGTCTCTCTCCTCCTTTATAGTCCTCCTCTGCCAATCCCAACTCGGCTGCCCACACGCCGAGTACGCTGCTCTCCTCCAATCAGTAGCAAGTCCTACAGTTTATTGGTTGAACTGGAGGCAGCTGTGCGGAAGCTGTTTACTTCTCTCCCAGTGCCATATTGTGGGAGAGCAGATGCATAGAATAAGTCTTAATTCCAGTAACTCAGTCCAGTCCGGGCTGCTCCCCACAATAATTAACATTTATTGCATGTTTACTAAGTGCCAGGAACTTGATTAAGTGTACTATCCAAATTATTACCTAAGTTAATCTTCACAGATCTCTGTGAGGTAAGGATCATTGTCCCTGTTTCACAGATGAGAAACTGAGGCTCTTGGACAATAAAAAAATTTTTAAGTCTCCTTCCTCTTCTGATGGATTTTTTTTCAAAGTTCTTATTTGGCCAAGTTTTTGCTTGCCTGTTAGTCTAATGTTTACTGGGGGAAAAAGTTAAAGTTCTATTCTCTTTCTTTTTAAAGATATTCCCCTTCCACCATAAATGAAGATTTTCTGAGGTCCTTTCTCGTTGAGATGTGTTGGTGCCAATTCAACTCCACAGAATCCTTGCAGAACTCACAGTTATGTCTAACAAATGCCAAGATGGTAAAAGCTAGGGCATCTCTTAGACAGGATTTTCGTTCTGTGGATGTCAATTTAGCTGAATCTGTGATTGCTAAATTATAACATTTTGTGGGGCCGGCACTGTGACATAGAAGGTTAAGCCTCTGCCTAAAGTGCCTGCATCCCATATGGGTGCTGGTTTGAGTCCCAGCTGCTGTACCTCTGATCTGGTTCCCTACTAATGTGCCTGGGAGCAGCAGAAGATGGTTCAAGCCCTTGGGCCCCTGCAACCATGTGGGAGATCCAAAAGAAGTTCCTGGCTCCTGGCTTCAGCCTGGCCCATACCTGGCCATCATAGCCATTTGGGGACTGAACCAGTGGATGAATGGAAGATTCTCTCTGTCTCTCTCTCTCTCTCTCTCTCTCTTTCTCTCCTTCTCTCTATGTATTTCTGCCTTTTAAATAAATAAATAAATCTGAAAAAAAATTTGTAACAGAAAAGAAAAAAATCAGCCAGTTCTTATTTTGTTTTCTACAAGAATATATACCAAATATTTTTTGAAAAATAAGAATTTTTGGCCGGTGCCACAGCTCAATAAGCTAATCCTACACCTGCAGCGCCAGTACCCTGGGTTCTAGTCCCGGTCGGGGCACTGGATTCTGTCCCAGTTGCTCCTCTTCCAGTCCAGCTCTCTGCTATGGCCCGGGAATGCAGTGGAGGATGGCCCAAGTCCTTGGGCCCTGCACCCACATGGGAGACCAGGAGAAGCACCTGGCTCCTGGCTTCAGATCAGCGCGGTGCGCCGGCCGCAGCAGCCATTGGGGAGTGAACCAACAGAAAAGGAAGACCTTTCTGTCTCTCACTGTCCACTCTGCCTGTCAAAAAAAAAGAATTTTTAAAGTATTTATTTGAAAAGTATTTATTTATTTATTTGAAAAGTATTTATTTATTTGGAAAGCAGAGTGACAGAGAGAAAGGGAGAGGTGGGGAGAGACAGATTTTCCATCCACTGCTTCACTCCCCAAATGGCTGCAATGGCTGGGTCTGGGCTATGCTAAAGCCAGGATTCTGGAACTCCATCCCAAATATCCCATGTGGGTGGCAGGGAACCAAGTACTTTGGCCATCATCTGCTACTTTCCTAGGCCCATTAGCAAGGAGCTAGATCAGAAGCAGAGCAGCCGGAACTCAAACTGGTGCTCATATGGGATGCCAGCATCACAGGTGACGCTTTACCAACTGCACCACAATGTCAGCCCCCATAAAAAAAAAAAAAAATTATGATCTATTTGCCCTATGATTGTTGTTGCTGCAAGCACTTACTTTTTTTTTTCCATGACTTAAATCCACTAGACTTAAAATAACAATATTTGTGAATAATGAAAGATGTGGTTGAATATGTCTTGGTCACTCTACCATACAAATATTTTCTCCCTCCTCTCTTTTTCTCTAACTCTTTTGCCCCCCCCCTTCCTTCTTGGTGTTTCTTTGGTTCTCTTTATCTCTTTTTCTCCCTTCCCCTCTCCCTCCCTCTCTCTCTAATTCCTTCCCTTCCTCTTGTTCTCCCTCTCTCATCTTACATTTTTTTTTCTCTCCAACTCTACCTATATGATAGTAGCTCCTTTTCCCAAACCAGCACCTCTTCAGCATCTTCCCTTTCCCCTTTTCCTCATTTTTAAGCAGCTGGCAAGTTCTTTCATTTTCAAAAATTACATGGGCACTATGGTAGACCTATCAAGTTGGCTTACTCAGCTAAGTGGCATCTCTGATAGGTGGCCTAGCAACTGCTGGAGATTTCTGAGATCCTCACAGACCAATTTCCATGTGTGGCTTCACTCCCCCCCCATAAAGCAGATGACTCCAGCAGGTGTCTCCCACACTATCTGGACAGAAGCAATATCAAGAGGCAGATTCAGTGCTGTGTCTGGCAAGTTCAGCCACTTGTGTGGAAGCAGAGTGGCTTTTTTCTGCATCAGCTTTAACAGAGCTTGCTGCATCTGGTCTCCAGCTTCATAGATTCTGAGAAGAGGGTACAGGCCATCAGAATGCCAGAAATCTTGTGGTACTGTAGTCATCAGTTGTATGCTGTTGCCCAGGCTCCCTGCTCCCTGGTTATAGCCAAGCTGGCTGCAAATTTAGTTGTCTGACTCTACAGTGTTGTTTTGATAGACCCATCTGGAAATTCTGATCAGAATTTATTCTCCTAACCCCTCAGTAATTTAGAAAACATCATGTTCACTGTCTTAATCACTTTAGTTCATACCACCACTGAGTTTTGCCCACTTATTAGTTGGTAGAGACGTGAGGAGTGATAATTCACTAAGATGGGAATCTGGGAGTGGCCATCTGACATGTTTGGGTCAATGACCCTTACCAGGATGAGATATGGAGAGTCTGTATGATATACCGACTGAGATCATTGCACCAGTCCAGGGGAGGTCGTGACCATTTGCGTACTGTTGATATTGTGTTGATAAGACAGCATGAACAGGAAGTAACAGGGTACCCTAGAATGACCCATGGGTGCTAGTGAGTCAGTTCTAAGTTCTGTTAAATGCAATGCTCTACCACCTTGTGGACGTCTTGGAGAGACCAGTGTTCTCAAGTTTGTTGGGATTTACCATCCAAAGAGAAAAGCAAGAAGGTACATTCTATACCCCATCTCATTAAGAGGTAAAAGACTTGATATTGTCAGGATACTTTGAGTTGACAACATCAGCTCATTAATTTTTAAAGTTGGGTGTAAGCAGCTACACACTAAGTAGAGGGAGTTTCAAGGGATCTGGTTGGAACAGATTCTGAAAGTACAAGTCAGATATATATTCAAAGCTTATACTGCCACTGTGTCTACCCTGATGCAGCCAATTAAAACAGGAAAAAAATTAAAATATAGTTGACACTATAGTGTCTTTTTTTTTTTTTTGACAGGCAGAGTTAGACAGTGAAAGAGAGAGAGAAAGGTCTTCCTTCCGTTGGTTCATCCCCAAATGGCCGCTACAGCCCAGCCGGCATGCTGCGTTGATGCAAAGCCAGGAGCCAGGTGCTTCGTCCTGGTCTCCCATACGGGTGCAGGGCCCAAACATTTGGGCCATCCTCCACTGCCTTCTCAGGCCACAGCAGAGAGCTAGACTGGAAGAGGAACAACTGGGACTAGAACCCGGCATCCATATGGGATGCCGGCGCCGGAGGCGGAGGATTAACCAAGTGAGCCATGACGCCAGCCCCTGACAGTGTCTTTACAAGTAAAAATTAATAAAGAGAATTCAAGAGGGAGCCGGGAAGGACTGGAATGTGGGCAGGAGGGAAGGGAATTACCACTATGTTCCTAAATCTGTATATATGAAATATTTGAAACGTGTATAACTTAAATAAAAAAAGTGGAGTACTACAAAGCTATAGCTGCAGTGAGAGGTGACCCTGAAGGACAGTGGGAGAATGGAGCACCATGGCTGAGACTTAACTTGGAGCATCTCAAAGTCCACTTTGTTTGGAATGGGAGAGATGGCCTGGTGTGTGGACCATGGCTGTGGTTTGGAAAACTTGGGACATACAAGGAAAGAAATCAGAATTTGATAACAAGGAAGTATGGAAAAGAGGAAGGCAGAGGGGTATCTCAAAATAGGGCAAGACCATAAGAATATTTATGTCTTCTGTGAGTGGCCACCAAAGGCAAATCAATAATGCAGTGAGAAAGAAACCTACACCAGAGCTGTCGTCCTTCTCCCTACCAACTTGAGCTCATAAGTGAAGAGGCTTTAGAGTTAGAGGTGAAAGTAAGGCATGGCCCTGATAGGATTTCCTCTTGCTATTGTTGTCCAATCTGTTGCCACTGTGCTGGCTGATCAACCATATCCTTCATCATGGTATCCAAACAATATTGCTTCTCAACAAAGAACTTATGTCTAAGAATAATAATTAAGGCAATCAAAGTGCTTCCTGCTATTTCATGTGCTTCACCATCTGGAAGCAGCCTGCCCACAGAGCTTGATTCCTGGGCCAGATGAAAAGCAAAACTGTTGTCTCAGAATGTGTGGTTCCATCAAGCTTATTGGGTGTTGATTCTCCCATAAGCAGAACACATTGTTTTGTGACCCAAGGATGGAAATGGGGGTGATGTTCCTTAACATTCCACTTAATGATTCACTCACAAAAGTATGATTATCATGTTAACAACTTTGATCCTGGTTTGGAAGTCTGAGATCCCAAGGATAAAACTACTCCACATTAGACTCAGCTGTGTTCCATTAGCTACGTGCTTCCCTTTGGCCATTTCAGCTTCCTTGTGTCCTGGATAAACAGAGGGGTTACCGCCTTGACTGGAATGTTAGGTTATTATGAGGAAATACAGTTATTGATAAATTTTCCCTTTCATGGGAAAATATTCCTCCAACCCAGAAATTCTGTAGGATGGCTCATTACTGTACCATGTCAAGGGGTAAAAGTCAATGGAAGATTCTGGAAACCAATGCACACTCTTCCCAAAAGAAGTCTTGCATTACTACCTGAATAAAGACCCTTCAGGAACTAGCTAAAGGTTAGGGGATCATAGCATTCGTGCTGGAGTGAGGACACCAATTGTAAGTGCCAAGCAGACTTTGTGATCAGTGGCAAAAATGAGCATTAATCATTGCTATAGCTAACATATTAATGCTGTGCTATGTTTTATTTCCCTTGCTTTTCCCTACTATTTTACATAGGACTTGTCAGTGGTTGCTAACTTCATAATTTTGTCCATGGGTTACAGTGCATTAATGCAGCACTGGGAGCATGCTGATGGAGGAAGCCCAACCCCCAGAGATGAATGCTGCAACAGGTGACACGTTGGGTCTCCACTTAAAAGTGTAAAGTATTCTCATTTGCATGAGCGATGGTTCATTGCAAACAGGAGAGCATTCTTTTCTGCTATTATTGTGATTTGAAAATTAAACTGTGGGGACAAGGGTAAGCACAGATGTCGGGTAAAAACTGAAAGATACTTTTCCATCAATTCTATTCTAACCTCCTACAAACTGGAGACGGAGAAACCAAAGACTACCTCTCCCAGACATTCTTCTAACTCAGATTTCCCATGTGCCCTTGCCACCAAAGCCTCTCTGAACTAAGAGAAAGGAAGGAAGAAAGGTGGTAAAACCCAGATTTGAGCTCTAATGAAATGTTCATAGGCATACAGATCACAAAACTGGAAGTGTAAGTCCCTACTCTGCTACAAATCCTAGGAAAATGTGCACAATTTATTGAACTTCTCAGAACTGAGCCTCTGTATGCCATGTGTAAATTGCTAACTCATACCTGGAAGAACTATCATGAGAAATAAGCGTAAACCACCTAGTATAGTACCTGGCACAAATCATGAAATGCCACTTCCCCACCCCTTCACAGATGACAGCTCTGTTTGGCTGTCAGACAACTTGTCATATCTTTTCCAGGGATATAATGAGTTAATAGAAAAAAAAAAAGTACAACTTTACAGGAACAATAAGAACTGATGATATTATCTACCAGGGCACTATGCCAGGGGAAATCTTACCCTAACTGGGCTCTGATTTCTTTCTGCAGGTAGAAAGTTACCAGGGCAAAAGCCAATATCACATTAAAACTTCTGGACTAAATTGCCATTTAAACAGATATGTGAGTTAACAATCTGCACATAGTTTACAGGTGAGAGAGCTGTGTTCATCTGCAGCCTCTACTTCCTCTATCATCATGACCTGCTTCCCTCTTACAGCGGGAAGTGCATATAATACAGAGCTATTGCCTACAGTGATCATTTCTAAGTAAAAGTTCCTGAAATATGTTGTTACATGCTCTCCACTTTTGTGTGACAGTACAACTAGTTAATATGCTTGTTCTCAAAATTCACCCGGGATCTTAAACTTCAGACATGAATAAATAT